AAATACACTCAAGGAATACTCAAGTGGTGTACAGGCACTACGGGCATATGCCTCTGGATTCACACGTAGCTGCAGCCAGCTAGGGAGGGGGAAGAAATTCAGATTGCACTTAAAGGTGAACCCACCTAATTCACATGTTCTGAAACACAACCATCCTTCGAAAATTCAATGACTTTTGCAACACAATTCTCCAGCTAAGCGATGTGTACAAAAACACATATATTGGGGTGAGTGTGCATTAAAATTCACATGTCTGAGAAAACCACATACAAAAATGTGTATATTAGGGGACACAGCTAACCTAGAAGCTCAGCCGCAAAGCACTCTGCTGGGGTGCCAGAAGACGTCCAAAGTGTGGATAAGTAACTGATGAGCTTGGCCTATGAAGTTTTGTAGTAAGTAACCAAGATTAAAAGGCTTTCTCTATTCTAGAGGCTATCAGCAGGAACAAAAGAGTAAAGTTGGAGGAACAGTCACTGTAACTGGAAGACTGTTGGGAAGAGAAAGTGTAACGTGAGAAACATGACTGGCTGCCTACCCTGGCTTGGAGAAGTGTCTGCAGACTGGATTCATGGGTGAGGGAAAATAAACTGTTATAGGTCTGTTTCCCCTAAACAAACCCCAGACAATATTTAATGAGTGGAATCAGTGAAGATTGGGAAGCATGTCTGACTTTATCTGAGATCCTGTGCAGTAGAAGCAATAGGGATGATGAAGGGGAACATTTGTTACCCATAGTGAGACATCTAGATGAAACAAAAATACTATAACAAGCCACGCTTTCAAGCCCTGGAACCATGAAAGGCAGATGGGTTCAGAGAGATGGAGGACAATTTGTATTTCATACAGTATTTTAGATTCAGATATATATATATATATATAGAGAGAGAGAGAGAGAGAGAGAGAGGTGTGTGTATATATATAAATTATATATATATATATATATATGTGTGTGTGTGTGTGTGTATGTGTGTGTGTGTGTGTGTATGCGCATTAAAGTTGCACTCCTGTATACACTTGTTTGTGAGTATCGTGTTTAGCTCAGTTTCCATAGGATCAGGCTGCCAATTGGAGTATTTTTAAGACAACAGCTTACACAGTAATAACAACAGAAAACCTAGGGTGACATTACTTGACATTGCTTTGCTCTTTTTTCCTTTTTTTGCTGCTCAGTTACTTACGTGGGATATTTAAATGATAAATGATGCACTAAATATATTTAACTTTCCTGAGCTATTTGAGTTCCAATGCTGTTTGGTCTGAAATCAATGGCAAAATTCCCACTGACTTCAAAAGGGACAGGTTAAACCCATTAGCATGCATTAAAAGCAACTCAAGTCTTGTCTCCCTATTTTAAATGAGAGCCTGTATCTAGACTCTCTTTAAAACTTACAATACAATCAATGACTTTGGCTCTGTAGCTCATTATTTTTTAGCCTTGTTACTGATGCAGTTGCTATTGAACTTCTAGGGAAAGAGAAGGGGAATTGGGCCTCAGAATTTAGTTCCAAAGGTAGAAATCCCAATAGATGCCATAGCTCTGTTCTTAATTAATTATTTAACCACAGGGCATCTTTTCAGCTTTCTACTCAAATGGCACAGCTCACTGAATTCCAGTTAAAAGTCGTCACTTTCTCCACCATAGTTCATGCTATAATTTAGCAATAAAAAATCACTCCAGGGTGACACTTAGCACACAGGTTATTTTTCTTTAAACAGCTGAATGGATTTCTTGCTTCTCTTTCATACTTAGTTCTCATGTACATACATACATATAAATATATATATATATTATATATATATATATATTCCAGACAAAGCATTTTTCTTTTCAGAGGTATTTTAATAATTCACTGTTGACTTTACCTTTATTAACGATGATTAGAAGTTTTAATGGCCTTTATGAAACAATTAATTTTGTTTTACTTCGCCCAAGGCAAAGAGTCAAAGCTAACATAGCCACTACCACAATACTTGCTGTAATTGTTCTTATAAAATACTTATCATGAAGATATAAAAAAAAATCCAATGCATTTTGAGTATAAGACTCTTCCATTGAGGGTAAGTAATAAAGCAATCTTGAAAATTACCGTATTTTTCGCCCCATAGGGCGCACCGGGCCATAGGACGCACCTAGTTTTTTTGGGGGGGGGATAAAGAAAAAAAATTTATTTCCCCCCCAGGCGCGGGGCTGGGGAAGCCCGAGCTTCCCCCGACCCCAGCCCCCACAACAGGCAGCTCTCCGCAAGCCTTGGGAGACCGGCGCGACTTCCCATCGGGCTCCCACGCCTTGCGGATATCTGCCTGAAGCCCACACCAGGTTGGGGAACAGTGGGATGGTGGCGCTGCGCCTCCCCGCTGTCCCCCGAGCTTGTGGGGCTGGCGGCGGGGAGAAGCGCGCTTCTCCCCGCTGTCAGCCTCCAAACCAGGTCGGGGAACTGAAGCCCGGGGCACGCTGTGCACGCCCCAGGCTTCGAGATGCAGGCTGCTATCCGCAAGCCTTAGGAGCCCGACGGGAACTCCCGCGGGCTCCTAAGGCTTGTGGAGAGCTTCCTGAAGCCTGGAGAGCGAGAGGGGTCGGTGCGCACCGACACCTCTCACTCTCCAGGCTTCAGCGAAAGCCTGCATTCGCCCCATAGGATGCACACACATTTCCCCTTCATTTTTGGAGGGGGAAAGTGCGTCCTATAGGGCGAAAAATACGGTACTTATACCTGACTTCAAGGTGGCATTTCGATTTAAGCTCATTATCCTTTCCCAAATGTGGCACTGCAGTACCACAGTGCACATATTCACACCTGAATGGGTGACAGCTAGGCCTGCATGTGGGTCCATGTGCTGACAAGGCAACAAGCATTAGAGGGATGTTGCCATCGGTTCTTGGGACCTGACTACATTTGTAGTGTGGTGGGGATCTGGAAGATCAGACATTATCCAAAGCTTGAATCTGAGTTGCAAACTATAAACTACCATACTGACCAGTTTATTTTCAATTATTACAGCAATATTACAATTACACTGCACTTGATCCAGCAAGGGAAAACTATGTGCTGAAGAAAGGTTACATGCACATAGCCAGCATGGATGTGTATCTGCACGGTTATACTCAGCCGGTCACTTTCAATGCTATTATTTTTTTAATGTATGACTGGAGCTGGATCAAGGCTGTAGGATTGGGTAAGGAGTAAGAAGAGATGGGCGGAGGAAGGGGGTGCGGTGGGGGTGGTCTGCCCTGGGTGTTACCACTGGGGGGGTGACAAAATGCCGGGCGGCACTCACCTCGGGGCCTGCAGCGCACCTGCTTCACACATCTCTCCTGCGAGTGACGCGGTGGCTTGAGCACCCACAGGCCCAAACGGTCCGCCCCCCCCATCTGTAGGGCAGCTGAGTGGGAGGAGGCAGGCAGACTCCTTGGAGGCCCCACGGAGCATCCTGCCCCAGCTCGCCCCACCCCCCAGGTGGGTTGCCCCACCCCTGGGCGCAAGGCACGCACGGCGCCCAATCGGCTTGCTCCGCCGCTGTATGAACCCCAACTTTCAAGGAGCATATTTGGAAAAATCTAGATCACTTCAAAAAGTCACATTTGAATGTTCTGCCTTTCCAAGGCTGGTTCCTTTGGGGCAAATGGCCACTTTCTCCTTATATATCACATCTTCAAATGCACATACACCCAGTGGTTTTCCTTTCACATATGAGGTTTCTTTTTAAGATGACTTATTTATAATTACATTTATACCCCACCTGTCGTCCAAGGAGTTCAAGAATAGGGGAAGCATGCTTAAAGAGCCAACCTTGGCATCTGGTGCTCTCACATAGCTCTATCCCATTTGCTTCACGTTGGCCAGCCGCAGCCTTACAAGAAGGGAAGCCAGCTGCACTTACAGTATGGCAGTTCTGTGGCTTTGTTTAAAAGAACCAAACTTGCTTATCTCCAAGTGTCAGGCTCCTGGCACCAGTGGCGTAGCGTGGGGGGTGCAGGGGGGGCCAGCCGCACCGGGCGCAACATCTGGGGTTAGGGCAAATCCACAGGTTAGGGGGCGCAAATCCACGGGTTAGGGGGCGCAAATTACTTGCCTTGCCCCGGGTGCTGACAACCCACGCTACGCCACTGCCTGGCACTGTACCTGTCTACCAGTCTTACACCTACTGCTGCCCAGCTTCCTGACCCAGCATCTGGCTTCATTCTCAGCTGCCAGCTTCTGGCTCTGCTCATCGCAGTTTGACTGTGAATTCCTTATCTCATCTCTTTGTTTTCCATGTTTATTCTCTTCACCATTCAACACCTGGCATCTGTTATTACCGCTATTAGTCAAGATGTTGAAATTGGAGATTAGCTACCTATCTGCAGATGTTGTAGAATGCTACTGAGAATCTTGTTTACAGGACAATAACTATTTTAGTTCTAGAGGGCAGACAGGACAATGCTTTGCTACTTCAAATGAAGACGACAGCAGCTGGTGTTAAAAATAAGCATCCCGTGTCATAATCAGATTGTCATTTGACACAATGTCAGATGTTTCTAAAATTATGTAAGTTAAGTTGACTGGCAGTTTTCCGCATTAGCTGATTCCAATAATTGATCTTCCAAGTGGTATCAGTAAAGGAGACCACTACGTATCAAGTGCCCCATAAAAGCATGCAAAAGCAGTCTTCTGATCATCCAGGGCAGCTAGAAATTCACCTTGAGGGTGGGGGAACAAATGTGTAAATGTGAGTTTCTAGTCAGCACAACTGCAAGCAAAACTTTTGAAAAAGTGACTGGGGTATCTGAGCACCCACATGTTTGCATATGATCATCCATCAGCAAATAATATGAAGTATTTTGTTTTCCCAGCTAAGTCTTCAATCTTAATCATACTTATTAGGACATAAATCATACTGAATGCAGCATGACTTGCTTCTGAGTAGACATGCTTAGGATCATGAAGTAAATCACCATCTTCCCATGCTGTTTTTCATAACACCTAATCTCTCTTTTTTTTTTTTTTTTTTTTTGTTACCTGGAGTAGTGAATAGCTTGATGTCCAGCAATATTAAAATAGAAGTCAGTTGTATGTTTCATCTCATCAGTATGGCCAGAAACCTCAATCCAATGGCCTATTGGGAGGCAGTAAACTCCATCGACCAAATTGCTTGGGTTATAGACACTACATCGATCATGGTGGGGCCCGTTGCCTGAAATGAGAACACACACAATTTGTCAGTCAATATAGCTCAATGGTGTAAAAACAAAGAGCTCTGAATTCATGGGATTTTCATTCAGTCGGCAGGGAGGGTACACATTATAAACACACATATTATAGGTTGACCTGGACTTAATCATGCTTAGAGTAGACCTATTGAAACTTAAGTCCAATTGATTCCAGTTGCTCTGCCATAAGCATGGCCAAGTCTGGATTCAACCCTATGTGTATCCTGTTGTGGGGAAAGCAAGGCAGCCATCCATTGGAGTAAAAGTCATTTTCCTTCAGGAAATGGAAACACAAGGTGTTGTGTAAGTAAAACCTAAATTTAAAGGGGGAAATAACTCCTTTCATTAACTGTCACTAGAATTCCTTTTCTCACAAGCTAATGACAACATGTGCAAAATGTTACTATTCAGCGATGCCTTCAAAATGCGGTTTCATCTACAAGGTTTTCTAAAATTCTCACCTTTCTTATTATAAATCCATCACTCAAGGAAGCAGATGTAGTGAGAACTCCTGAGCAGACGACTGCCACATTATGTTTCTAAATGAAGTGACCTAGACACCAGCAACCACTTTGTGCTAATTCTGCACCAGAGATTTCAACACACATTGTTTATCTGTGGATTCCTTCCCTATTTCAGGCATTAAGAGTGCCATCTGCTGTGTAAAACATGGCATGTGCCACCATGAAATCTCTTGCCTGGATTTGTAAACCCTAACTCCACATTTGGAAAGCCAAACAAAGTTTTTTCTAGCTTTTGCAGACTGTTTATGAAACATCTGGTTAATTCTTATTTTAAAAGTAAGGCGTACTTTAGTGAAATAGAATAGAACTACCAGAAAGGTAGATCAAAGAGACAGGAAGTAATATCAAATATGGATCAAATCCTGCATAAATCACCATTAGCCCAAATGGACTTGTTCCTGAGAACAGAGACTCCTCCACAGAATCACCACCAGGCCCCCAAAGTAAAGCAGTACTGGGGACTTCTTCTTCTTCTTCTTCTTCTTCTTCTTCTTCTTCTTCTTCTTCTTCTTCTTCAATGCCCCCCCCCCCAAATTGTGGGATCAGTTTGGTCTTGAGCCAGAGAATAAAATCAGGGAGGCATCTAAAGAAAATGTTGTGCAAATCTGGTAAATTGAAAAAGGTCTTCCTTTTTCTTTTTTAAAGTACAAATGCACAGGAAAACACATACATACACACTTGCCCACAATCAATCTTAGGTTTCTAGAACTTATGGTGGGCAGGGAAGTACTAATTGACACAAACAGACAACCACGCAAAGTGTGAATACATCCCATCAAGCACTGCCCAATGATGTAGATGGGAAACATAAGGGTAGATTTCAGAGGCATAAAACTGGAAGTCCTCATGTGTGGATGAAGATGCACAAAAAACCATATGGAAACTGCTACCTATATATGCATTAACGCCCCACTGTGGACACAATCAGATAATGGTGACAAGAGATGAAGTTCTAGACCTTATTGAGAAATTGAAAAAGGACAAACCATCAGGTCCAGATGGAGTTAATCTAAGAGGGGGGAAATCCATATGAGATTGGGTGCAGGTTATGGGGAGGGAAGGAATGGTATCCCCTGATAGATCTTTTCTCTTGTCCAGACCAGACCATTCTGGCAATAGGGGAATTGGAAATGCTAAGAGCAGGAGCAGCTACTGAATTCAGCTCATGCCTCTCCTCCTGTGAGAGACACAGATCATCTCTCCAGGCCTTTAATGAATACAAAAAGATATACTCATTCACAATCTGTTCCTTTGTTTCAGAACAAATGAAAAATAAACCTAACAGGCTCTTTTAAGTTCAGCTTTCTATTCATTCTGGAATTACTTCAAGCCCAGATTTGGATGTACTTCCTTGGTGTTCCTCTGAATTAGCAGATTTAGTTGATCAGTCCCCAATCCACACATACAATGAAAACAGGCTTTGGGGCCAATCTTGAAGGCTGAATTTCGTGTAGAAATATCTGGACATGAAATACTCTTGTACGTGGCAGAATATGCAGCTCACATCTGGCAAAACCATAGTAGGGCATCAAATGTATAATATATCCTCACACGCAGGGACAAGAAATATCACCGGATTTACCTATTTTTGCTCAAAAAGGAGTTAACATAGTATCACACCCTTCATGAGGAAGCTTTTTGGTGTTTTGAGGGAAGGACTGCGATTGGCTACTCAGTTTGTAACTTTAAGCAGTTATACATTGAAAAATAAATGTCTGAAATATACCACTTTAGAAATAATGGCTGTTTAAATCATCAACCTTTTTCAATTTCTACATATCCCCTTCTCCCATACAGAGTTTAAAGGACAAAATTAATCAGTTTCCACCCACCTCCTCTTTCACTTGCTGAATAATAAATGAAAGAAACACAAAAATCACTTTGGAATAGGGATGTGGCCTAACAAAGAGCACATTAGTAAAGTCCAGATCGATTGACAAATACATTTTTCTCTCATTGCTATAGCTTTAGCTTTCCTATTTGGATAAATGTAGTTTTAAGAATTTCTTTTTTAAAGAAAGTGTTTTCTTAACATGAAATAAAACACAACCTTGTACAGCACTATTGCAATATTTAATCCATTTCATTTACAAATCACACAAAAGCTCAGATCCTATAAGTTAGCTCAAGGAAGTTCATGCACGGGAAGCTCCTGGTCCTTCCTTCCCACTATAACCATCCTTGCCTGATTTTTGCCCCCGGCCTACATTGTCCAGGAGCAGTTTTCCAGGGGACAGAACAACAACTGCTGACATTTCCACTTATAAAAATTAGATAGCAGGGAATGGGAAAACCCTATGCTTGAGACCCTGGAAAACTACTGCCAGTCAGAGTAAACAGTACTAAGCTAGATGGACAAATAAAGCAGCTTCCTATGTCCTTCCTAATGTTGATTGATTGATTGATTGATTGATTGGATTGATATATCACCTTTTCCTCCAAGAAGCTCAAGAAGGTATACACGGTTCGCCCCTCCCCCATTTTACCTTCACAGCCACTCTGTAACGTAGGTTGTTAGGTCCAGAGACAGTGACTGGCCCAAGGGTACCCAGTGAGCTTCATGGCTCAGTGGGGATTTGAACCCTGTCCTCCCAGGTCATAGTCCAACACTTTAACCATTGCATCATACTGGCTTTCCAGTACACACACAAACACTTCTACCACACTAGAGAAAGAGCGGTTGAGAAAGGGCCTGTAGGCTGCGCTCAGACTCTGTTGCTCTTATGCAAACACAATTGGCATGGGGATGATGGTTTCCGTGCAAGGACACTTGGCTTGACGTGGTGCGCAAAGCCTAAAAGCTGGGGCTGCGTGCCTGCAGTATGTCCGTTACTGGTGTGGCCAGGGTATCCTATGTGGAAGGAGATTTTCATGTCTAAAGGCTAAGATTAAAAACAATGGAGCCCATCACTGACAAACATTAGGAAGCCAAATAATGGTTATTCTTGAAAGGATATATTTCTGTACCAAGGATTCCGAACTAAGTCCTTTTTTATTCCACTGTTGTTCAAAAACTCTCCCATGCAATTTGCTTGCACATCAACATGTCCAAGAACAAAGCAATCAGCAAACTCTGCCTTACAAATCAATCTTTGTGAACAGTCTTTCTTTCAAAGCCTGCAGGACTGCCCATATGGCTCCTGGCATGATGCGTAAGAAAGATGATCAAACTGGCATATCAAAAAGCCACTGGCTTTATTGCAAAGGAGATTAAAACAAAGATCTCTGAGCAATGAGCAGCTCATATGGGAGAGAAGAACAAACAAGAATATGAAAAGCAAGTAAGACATGATCAAAAGAAAGAAGTAATCCAGAGTAGCCCAAGATCAGTGATGGGAGGGGAAACATAAGCTCCAAAAGGGTGTGGGAAGAGGGAGGAGGTGCAAACATCAAAAGAGCTGAACTCAAGCACACAACATGCTGGGTAGCATCTTATGCATGGAAACCTGTAACACAAGCAGGCTAAGAGTCCTGGGGCAGTTCCAAGTGGTCCCAACATTCTTGTAAGGCGTCCACTATCCACTTTCTTAATGGTTGCAAAGTAAAATAGGCATAGATAGCAATGTTTCTGAAAGAAACATCCAGCTAGCCAACTAAGGAAAAACCATATCGAATGCACCATATTTCATGTGCTCTCCCAGGGGAATCTGAGTACAGAAAACAGATTTTCTCATGGTGTGATATGTTCACTAGATCTGAAATTGGTGCCCTTGTTACTGTTTCAGAGACCCGATCACCACACTGGGTCTGGCATGTCTGTTTGTAAGTTCTGTTTTCTGGATTGTGACTGCACCAGCCATGCCATTTGTGCATTCATCAGCACTGTCAGATACAGGACCAAAAATTTCAGGGTGTGTCATTCCCTAGTGAATCTACTGACACTGGAGCTCACATTGCATCTCTCAAACACTAAGGAGACATCTCTGCTACAAGACATCAATGACTGAACTATACAGCCTCCTCAGTATCAGGAGACCTCTGAGAAGCTTTCCCCAAACTTGACACCCCACTGCCTAGAAAAATCCAACAGCTGCAGAAAAGGGTACTGGCATTTTAAGTGCCAGATCAAGGAGCAGGGCTTTCTTCTGGGATAGCTCAGTTAGTAGAGCATGAGACTCTTAATCTCAGGGTTGAAGGTTTGAACCCTACACTGGGCAAAATAATAATAATAATAATAATAATAATAATAATAATAATAATAATGATAATATCTTTATTGTCATTCCTGCATTGCAAGAGGCTGGATTAGATTACCTTTATGGTCCCTTCCAACTCTACCATTCTATGACTCTATGACCTTGTGTAACTAGCCCAGGCTACAAAACTCTGCCAGCTGCTCCAAGGCACCACTGAAACAATTTTATTTTCTGCCTCTGCTACACTGCCACAACTGTAACCCTGATCTTATCCAAGGTCTTGGCCTTGCTTTGCTTTACCTATCATGTTTCAGAACCCTGGCT